AGATGGTTTTACTTGGATGGATGATGTCGACGTTGTCCGAGTATGCCTTCTAATTCTTTTGCATGCCGGCTTTTTAGGCATAGAGGCCAGACAACCTATTCCAAATGATCTAATCAAATTGGTAGAAGACCTAAATGCGTGGAACCTGTTTCCGTGGGGCTCGTATTTATGGAAAGCTACATGGAATAAGTTATCGTCTGCCTTGGATGATCGAAAAAGTTTGCATGGCGATGGTTCCAAATACACTTTGACAGGCTTTATTTGGGCCTTTAAGGTAAGAATTTTGATATGATGTTTCCAAAATTATAAGTAATTATTTAACAATTACTAATGTTTGTAGATTTGGATATTTGAGGCCTTTCCCGCCATGAAGACATATGCAATAAAAACTTCAAATGATATTCCCAGGGCTATTTCCTGGAAGAGGAAACGGACCTTGCAATGGGAAGATTTACTACGGTATACGACAATAAATAATGTAAGTTAACATAAATACTACCATATGTTTAGAAACAAGTTATTACTAGTACACGTTTAACTTTGTTTGAGCTTTTATATTGTTAGGAGGCCAACACTCCTCTACAGAGGCTGACACCCACGGAAGCTGAGCTTGCCACTGATTGGTGGCAAGCTAGTAAGCGTTTTTTTGATGGAACGGTTGATGAGCAGCCTCCACTTCGGGAGCCATCACCTCGCCCAGAGCTATCACCTCACCCAGAGCCATCATCTGATCGACCCGGCTATACACCTCCACAACGACAGCCATCACATATTTTGTCACATCATCGAGCCTCTTCTCCACCATCACCGCAAGATAGGCGACCGGCAAAGATGCCACGACGTTTATCTCCCTGTTCTCCACCTCCACCTCAACGGGATGAGTTAGGGGAGTTACGTGATGAGGTCAATGCCTTGCGTGAGGAGGTCGGTACTTTACGCAAAGACGATGGTGCATGGCGTGTTGAGGTGTCTACATTACGCGGTGAGGTAGCCGCTCTACGTGAGATGGTAGCATCGTTGCAGAATGAGGTTCATACTCTACGCAACGAGGTAAGTTTAAGATTTTTCATACTCGTAATTCATTCGGTTGCTGCCAATACTGCTAAAATGTTTTTGTTAGTATTTGTTTTTGGTTTTGTTTTTGTCTTTTGGTTGAAGTAATGCAATCCATTCAAGTTTCAATTTGCAGAAGAAGAATAGTTTACTTTCGCAACACGAAAATGACTATCGCAACGCGGAAATGGCTATCGCAATGCGAAATGAAAATCGCAACGACAAAATCGCAATGCGAAATGAAATCACAACAAAAAATCGCAACGCGAAATGAAAATCGCAATGCGATTTGTGTTTCGCGTTGCGATTTTGTCGTTGCGATTTCATTTCGCGTTGCGATTTTGTCATTGCGATTTTCATTTCACATTGCGATAGCCATTTCCGCGTTGCGATAGTCATTTCGCGTTGCGATTTTAAGTTTTGTGTTGCGAAAGTAAATTATTCTTCTTCTGGAATGTTTATATATGTTGTCCTTTTAAATGTTTATATAAGTGCTTACTTCTGGAATGTTATCTGAGCATTTTGTGAACTATGATAAAATAATGATTTGGGTGAATACGATGCTAGTTTGAAACATATTTGTCTTTGTTTAATATCATGTATGTTTATTTACTGATTTATGTATTAATTTTTTTTAGCGGCCCGATAAGGTGGATGCTTTACGTCGGGTTTTCCTTGCACGACGGAGTTCACGCATCAGACGGCGTGGACGTGCTATTACGTCTCCGTTCATCCCAATGGTGCGAAGACTCCGCAAGAAGAAGCCCGACTCACCGATCATCCCTCAAGAGTCCCCTCCAATCGTTCAAGAGGCCCCTATTCTCCCTCAAGATTCCCCCCCACCGTTCAAGAGGCCACTGTCATCGTTGAATAGGTCCCTCCCACCATTCCAGAGCCCGATTCACATGGGGTAATATATCGAAGTATTGAGAAACCCCCACCGGTTCCGGACATGATGGATGAGAGTTGGCTCTCGTATGAGTTACCGGCTAGTACCCTTCCGGTATCTGAAGTGGAGAGGAGACAACTACCGGAAACAATTGTGGATAATACCCTTTGGGCTAAGACCGCAGTTGATTTTTATCTACATGAGCGGAGCCAAGGGTGTTACACTGACATCAGCAAACTCAACGATGAAATGTTTTTGTTGCTTGATCGGTCTTGGTGGGGTGTGCTATTAGGGGTTGAAGACAGTGGCTATTTGGATGGGGAGGTAAGACTATATTTGTCTTATATATGATTTTGATTAATTTGTTTAAAAATTAATGTAATTCACTAATATATGTATTTTTTTTGTAAAACAGCATATCGATGCGTGGGTGTCACGTCTACTAATAATAAGGAAGCTTAGGAAAAATAAAAAAAATTCGCTATATACAATAATGCCGACGGCTTTTCACGCAGTTCACTTGAAGAATCAACGAGATGAATCATTTTTGTTGGGCAATGGACAAGCTAAACTTTATCCTGCATGGTGGGAGGTCGATAAGGTTAGTGTTTATTTTTTAAATTTTTTAAAGGTGTTCATAAATAAGTGCGCAAATAAATGAATTATTACTTATGATCGCAGGTGTTTATCCCTGTTTTGGAACGTCGTCACTGGCTTCTCGTCCAACTTCAGCTCCCATCCCTGAAGATAATAGTGTATGACAGCATAATCAATTACATATCACTGTCTGATTTGAGAGATATTTTCAAGGGATGGAGCTCTCATTTGGCTAAATTCTTGGATGGGATTAAGTATTGGAGTCATTCTGGACACAAGAAGACAAAGAAGTTCAATGTCACAGTTGTCAGAGACGAGACCGCGCCACAGCAATCGCCGGGAGCCAGAGGGGATTGTGGTCCTCTCGTATGCCTTTGCTTGGCGCATTTGACGACGGGAAGCACAGAGTTTTTACCTCCCACCGATAGAGATAGAGCTGCAGTAGGCTTGTGGTTTCAGCATTATATGGCTAGAGCAATATATTTGAGATGCTGCCTACCTGCATCCGCGTTATGAAAGTGTCCATTGTTAATTGGTAAGTCAAATGCAAGTTTTGTTAACATATATACTCCTTTTGGTTTGAAAATGTTTGGTTAAGTACCTAGAATTCAATAATTTGCTGTTTGTAGGTTTTAGATGTGTAGGAAGTCTTGTTTGAGCAAATGTTTGGTTTCTGCAGGTTAATCCTTAAGTGAGCTGCGTGAAATGGATGTACGGGGTCACAAAGTTGTTGATTCATTGATTCAATAATTGATGAAGAAATAAGAATTATTATTATTTTTTGATTGTTTAATTGATTTGTAAAAGATGATTTGTAAATCTTGATTTGTTTAATTGATGTGTACATAATTTGTGTTGAAATGTAATTGTTGATTTGTTGATTTTCAATCTGCTTTATGTTGAAGGCAAAACAGACTATCGCAACGCGAAATGGCTATCGCAACGAGAAAATCGCAATGCGAAATGAAAATCGCAATGCGAAATGAAAATCGCAACGAGAAAATCGCAATGCGATTTTCATTTCGCATTGCGATTTTCTCGTTGCGATAACCATTTTCGCGTTGCGATAGCCATTTTCGCGTTGCGATAGTCAAATGAATGTCTAATAAGTGATGACAACTGAACAGATCATAGCAATGTTCAAACTCAAGTTACTAATACATGCCTAACTGAAAATGTTAAAAGTGCACACATAAATACACATAATGCAAGTTTTGTTAACATATATACTCCTTTTGGTTTGAAAATGTTTGGTTAAGTACCTAGAATTCAATAATAATTGTTAAAAGTTTATGTATGTTGATCCTCGTTGCCTTTTTCATTTTGCATTGCGATTCTATCGTTGCGATTTGCATTTCGCATTGCGATGGTCAAATGATTGCCTTTCGCAACGCGATTCTGACTTTCGCAACGAGATAATACAGAATCGCAATGCGAGTTTCAAAGTTCGCAACAGGTTTTAGTTTCGCAAGCCAAATTTTTAGTGTATATATATACGCAGCAGCAACAACTCATAACCTAAATCCCTAAATCGCAACTCATTCCATCTCCATCTATCACTCTCTCCGGCGACATTCGTTCCAATATCCAACGACATCCTTCCCCATCCGGCAACAGGTCTTAGTTTCGCATCTCATTTGTTTAGTTACAACCATGAAATCATCTAATGTTGATCATGTTTGGATAGATTTGTGTTTTGGAGGGTCATGGGAGAATGTTCATGGTGTTTTACAATATATGCCTTTACCCATGAATCTTCAACTAAAACTGTCATTAAAGAAGTTAACTTATGAAACCCTAATGTTACGTGTTTCAAAGAAATTGAATTTAGAGCCCCTAAGTGGATTTAGGCTATCTTATCAGAGAAATGGTAAAGTTTATTTGTTAACCGACAATGAAGATGTTGAACGATTCATTGCTTACATTAATGTTTCAAGTGATGATGTTACATTGTATGTTGTTGAACCTAGAAGTAGTATTGTTGGGTCAGTAGCGGGTAGTAATCAACTAAGTGGGTCAAAAAACCCACAGCCTTTCTCTAATCCAAATCCAAATCAACTTTCAGCACCAAATTCCGGTTTTCGTATTGACCAATTAGACGATGATGAGCCAAGAGAAAAAATTGTGAGTACTAGTCAGTATTCGAAATTTTATCTTGGTCAATACCCGGACTTTGATATTGGTCAATACACGGATTTTGATGATGTTTCAGAAGAAGAAACAGACCCTGCGTGTAATGATTTTGATATTGGTCAATACCCGAATTTTGATGATGAAACACCCGTTGCCGAGGAAGATGTTGTTGATGATAATGAGGAGGAAGTTACGACTGTGAATGAACATGTTGAACATCCATTCTGTAATTCATATAATCCTGAAGAAGAAAAAGAAGAAGAAAAAGTCCCCGAAGAAAAGAAAATGCCACGGGAGTATAACTGGAATATGCCAGAATTACTTCAGTTACCGGAAGAAGAGTTGGCAAAGAAAGCAGTTGATTGTTACACAAAAGTTATTCGTATCAAGAAAGATGATTGTTTTGATACAAAGGAAGACTTGAAGATAGCTTTGTATACGAAATGTGTGGAAGATGGCTATCAACTAAAAGTTAACAAATCAAGCAAAGATCGTTTCGAAACAAGGTGTACGATTGACAAAAACTGTACGTGGCGTATGATTGCAAAGAGGATAAAGATTGCGCAATGTTTCAAGTTAGGACTTTTATTGATAAACATACATGTTCAAGAACCCAAGTTTTTCCTCACCATAGACAGGCAAACAAAAAGGTGTTGGGTGGTTTTCTGGCTGAGTTAATGTTTTTGAATGGCAGGGTATATCGGGGACATGAAATTATGACTGACATGAATGCTCGGTTCAAGATTAGTATATCATATTCTCAAGCTTGGAGAGCCAAATGTTATGCCTTGGAATTGTTGAGGGGGTCGCCAGAAGCATCGTTTGCCCAACTGCCGGCTTATTGTCACAATTTAAAGCTGAAAAATCCTAGGTCGGTAACTCATATCAAAACAGATAGAGATGGACGCTTTGAGTTACTGTTTATCGCCATTGGTGCTGCGGTTAGTAAATCAATATAATTCTGTTGACTCATTTCTGTTAGTTACATGCATTTCACTTTTAAATGATTATATTTCTTGTGTATATTATTTTGTAGATTCGTTCGTTTATTACTTGCATGCGCCCAGTTATTATAGTTGACGAAGCACATTTGAAAGGTCGATACCTTGGAGTAAACTTATTAGCAGTAGCCATGGATGCTAACAATGGGATATTGCCAATAGCTTACGGGGTTGGCAAATCTGAAACCTCTGATTCATGGACATGGTTTATGGGGCATCTTAGGGATTGTATAGGTCCTATTAGCAATCTGACAATCATATCCGATAGGGCAAACTCAATTGACAACGCTGTTAGAAGGTGTTTCCCAGATGCTTTTCATGGACTTTGTGGTGTTCATTTGTATAGAAATCTAAAATCAAGGTCTGCTGGTATAAAAAAGCACAAATGGACATACTGGAAGGCTGTAAAGGCTTATCGGGAAGTGGATTTCAATAAGCATATAAACTGTTTAAGACGTGTTTTGCCTCAGTGTGCTCAAACACTAGAAGATGTCGGGTTTGAAAGATGGTCAAGAGTACATCAACTTGGAGCAAGATATGGTTTCATGACGTCTAATAGTGCAGAATCAATTAACGCTCTAAGTCGTCATTCCCGGAAATTACCCATTACTATGTTAATGGAGTTTTTTTGAGCCTCTATTCAACAGTGGTACTGCAAGAAAAGAAACCATGCAGGTATTATTTCTTTGAATTCGTAACTTATCATATATTTTACTAAGTATTATTTATTTAAATTTACAGGAACATTGGAACATCGTGTTACACCATGGACTGAAAAAAAAGATAACGAAACGTGTTGTGAAGTCAACGTCATGGAGAGTTGAACCATGTTCAAACACTTTGTTTGAAGTACTGGATAATAACTTAAATGGGCTTGTCGATCTAAATGCAAGGACGTGTAGTTGTATGAAATGGCAAACATCTGGTTATCCATGTGGCCATGTTATAAAAGTTGCTCTTCATCTAAACCAAGATGATTCAAGCACATACGCTATGGATTGCTACACTACAGAAGTATATCGACAGACTTATGCCGAGATTGTCTACCCTATTTCACATCCTTCTGAGTGGGACATACCAGATGACTTACAAACAGTTTTGCCACCAGCCATGGACAGAAGGCTACCTGGCCGACCAAAAAGTCACGATCGTATACCGTCTAAGGGTGAAGAGAAGAAGAGATCGACATGTAGTCGGTGCAAGGAAAGTGGTCATACAAGGTTGACATGTGGATCACCAGTGCCATCACAATCATCTTTTCCTCTACCAAAATATGGATCATCATCAAAATCCAAAGCTCATATGGTGTCAAGAAAAAGGCAATCAAAATCGCAATCATCTTTAAAATCCCAATCACAACTGGCTTCACCCTTTGGGACTGTTAACTTAGGTGATTTTTAAATGCAAACGTTGTATTATGTAGATTTTATGTGTGAACTTTTAACATTTTCAGTTAGGCATGTATTAGTAACTTTAGTTTGAAAATTGCTATGATATGTTCCAGTTGTTATCACTTAATAGGCAATCATCTTAATGTCCATCGCAACGCGGAAATTACTATCGCAATGCGAATTGAAAATCGCAACGAGAGAATCGCAATGCGAAATGAAAATCGCAACGCTAATTTCGCAATGCGAAATGAAAATCGCAACGAGGGAATCGCAATGCGAAATGAAAATCGCAACGCGAATTTAATTTCGTGTTGCGATTTTCATTTTCGCGTTGCGATTCTCTCGTTGCGATTTTCATTTCGCATTGCGATAGTACTTTTTGCCTTCAACATAATGCAGATTGAAATCAACAAAATCAACCATTACATTTCAATCAATTAAACAAGCACAAATAAGAATTATGTTAACATCAATTAAACAAATCAACTTTTACAAATCACCTTTTACAAATCAATTAAACAATCAAAAAATAAGCAATAATTATTAGAGAAAATAACACTTCTACTATTGAATCAACTTTTGCAGCCATACATCATTTTCACGCAGCTCACTTCTGAGATTAACCTGCATAAACCAAACATTTGCTCAAACAACACTTTCTACACATCTAAAACATACAAACAGCAAATTATTGAATTCTAGGTACTTAACCAAACATTTTCAAACCACAAGCCTATAAACATACCAATTGTTTATGGACATTTTTATAACGCGGATGCAGGTAGGCAGCGTCTCGTATATATCGATCTAGCCATATAATGTCGAAACCACAAGCCTACTGCATCTCTATCTATATCTGTGGGAGGTAGATACTTTATACTTCCTGTGATCAAACGGTCCAACGCCAAGCATACGAGAGGACCACAATCCCCTCTGGGTCCTTTCGTTTGTTGTGGTGCGGTCTCATCTCTGCTAACTGTAATATTGAGCTTCTTTGGCTTCTTGTTTCCAGAACGAGTCCAATAATTTATCGCATCCAAGTATTTAGCCAAATAAGAGCTCCATCCCTTAATAATATCTCTTAAATAAGCAAATGATATGTAATTTATCATGCTGTCATATACTATTGCCTTAAGGGATGGGATCTGAAGCTCGACGAGAAGCCAATGGTTACGTTCCAAAACAGGGATAAACACCTGCAATCATAAGTAATAATTCATTCATTTGCGCACTTATTATGAATACCTTTAAACTCAATCTAAAATAAACACTAACCTTATCGACCTCCCACCATGCAGGATAAAGTTTAGCTTGTCCATTGCCCAACGCAAATGATTCATCTCGTTGATTCTTCAAGTGAACGGCGTTAAAAGACGTCGGCATAATTGTATACCGTGTATTTCTTTTATTTTCCTTAAGTTTCCTAATTATTAGAAGACGTGACACCCACGCATCGATATGCTGTTTTACAAAAAAGACATATATTAGTAACTTACATAAATTTACAAAAAAAATAATCAAATGAAAAATAAGAAAAATATAAGACTTACCCCTCCATCGAAATAGCCATTGTCTTCGACCCCTAATAATACGCCCCACCAAGACCGATCAAGCAACAAATAGATATCATCATTGAGCTTGCATATGTCAGTGAAACACCCCTGGCTTCGCTCATGTAGATAAAAATCAACTGCGGTCTTAGCCCAAAGGGTGTTATCCAGAATTGTGTCTGGTAGTTGTTTCCTCTCCTCTTCAGATACCGGTATGGTACTGGCCGGTAACTCATACGAGAGCCAACTTGAATCCATCATGTCCGGCACGTCAGAGGGTTTCTCAAGAATCCTACATATGACGCCATGTGAATCGGGCTCTTGAATGGTGGGAGGGACCTCTTCGACGATAACAGTGGCCTCTTGAATGGTGGGAGGGGACTCTCGAGGAATGATAGGGGTCTCTTCAACGATAGGAGTGGACTCTTGAGGGATGATAGGCGAGTCGGGCTTCTTCTTGCGGTGTCTTCGCACTATTGGGGTATACGGAGACTTAATAGCACGTGCACGCCGTCTGATGTGTGAACTCTGTCGTGCAAGAAAAACCCGACGTAAAGCATCCACCTTATCGGTCCGCTAAATAAAAATACAAATATCAGTAAATAAATAGACATGATATTTAAACAGTGAAAACAAAGATAAATATATTTCAAACTTTCAACCAAAAGACAAAACAAAGACAAATACTAACTTCTCAGTGTTAAAGTAAAAAGTTTAGCAGTTTTGGCAGCAACCGAATAAATTTACTAAGCAATCTAAGTGAAATGGTTAATTTAAGTGAAATTACGAGTAAATTTATCATCAAGTTAAATATGGAAAATCTTAAACTTACCTTGTTGCATAGAGTATGAACCTCATTCTGCAACGATACTACCATCTCACGTAGAGCGGCAACCTCACCACGTAAAGTAGACACCTCCACACGCCATGCACCATCGTTATCGCGTAGAGTACCGATCTCCTCACGCAAGGCATTGACCTCATCACGTAACTCCCTTGACTCATCCCGTGGAGGTGGATAATAGGGAGATAGAAGTCGTGGCATCTTTGTCGGTCGCCTATCATGAGGTGATGGTGGAGAAGAGACTCGATGATGTGACGGGATAGGTGATGGCTCTCGTTGTAGAGGTTATAGTCGGGTCGATCAGGTGATGGCTCTGGGTGAGGTGATGGCTCTCGAAGTGGAGGAAGTGGAGGCTGCTCATCATTCGTGCCATCAAAAAAACGCTGACTAGCTTGCCACCAATCAGTGGCAAGCTCAGCCTCCGTGGGTGTCAGTCTCATTAATGGAGTGTTGGCCTCCTAAAAATATAAAAACTAAAACAAAGTTAAACGTCTACTATTAATAACTTGTTTATATATGATAATATTTGTGTTAACTTACATTATTTATTGTCGC